AACGTCACGGTCAAAGGTCAAGGTCGGGGTGAAGGTCAAGGTCAACGTCAAAAGTGAAGGTCAAGGTCAACGTCAACGTAACAAAAAGGTTCGTTTTTCCGTTACATTTTTAACATTTTCTCAACAGGGTCAAAGGTCAAGGTCGGGGTGAAGGTCAAGGTCAACGTCAAAAGTGAAGGTGAAGGTCAAGGTCAACGTCAAAAAGTGAAGGTCAACGTCAGCGTAACAAAAGGTTCATTTTTCCGTTACATTTTAACATTTTAACATTTTCTCAACAGTGTCAAAGGTCAAGGTCGGGGTGAAGGTCAAGGTCAACGTCAAAAGTGAAGGTCAAGGTCAACGTCAAAAGTGAAGGTCAAGGTCAACGTCAACGTAACAAAAAAGTTCGTTTTTCCGTTACATTTTTAACATTTTCTCAACAGGGTCAAAGGTCAAGGTCGGGGTGAAGGTCAAGGTCAACGTCAAAAAGTGAAGGTCAACGTCAACGTCAAAGTCAAAAGAAGGTCAAGGTCAACGTCAACGTAACAAAAGGTTCGTTTTCCGTTACATTTTTAACATTTTCTCAAAGGTCAAGGTCGGGGTGAAGGTCAACATCAAAAGTCAAGGTCAAGGGTCAAGGTCAACGTCAAAGTGAAGGTCAAGGTCGACGTCAACGTAACAAAAGGGTTTTCTTTGCGTATCCCTTACCATTTTTCCGTTACATTTTAACATTTTCTCAACAGGGTCAAAGGTCAAGGTCGGGGTGAAGGTCAAGGTCAACGTCAAAAGTGAAGGTCAAGGTCAACGTCAACGTAACAAAAGGTTGCGTTTTTCTGTTACATTTTTAACATTTTCTCAACAGGGTCAAAGGTCAAGGTCGGGGTGAAGGTCAAGGTCAACGTCAAAAGTGAAGGTCAAGGTCAACGTCGAAAGTGAAGGTCAAGGTCAACGTCAACGTAACAAAAAAGTTCGTTTTTCCGTTACATTTTTAACATTTTCTCAACAGGGTCAAAGGTCAAGGTCGGGGTGAAGGTCAAGGTCAACGTCAAAAGTGAAGGTAAAGGTCAACCTCAACGTAACAAAAGGGTTTTCTTTGTGTATCCTTACCATTTTTCCGTTACATTTTAACATTTTCTCAACGGGTCAAAAGGTCAGAGATCCAGAGATAATTCCAGAGAGATCCACAGATAGTTCCAGAGAGATCCACAGATCCGGAGATAGTTGCGAAGTGTAACGGCAGCTTACTTGGTCATTATTATGGCAGCTAGGGTACGATTGAAACGCTCGACCTGGCCATTTGCCTGAGGTCGGAAAGATGTGGTTCTTGTTTTCACCACTTCCAACAATTTGCATAGTTCCTGGAACAAATTGTCTTCATACCGCCTACGTTGATCACTTTGTATGAATTTGGGAGTACCATAACGACACACCCACTCCTCAACAATTTTTTTGGCCACTGTCTTTGCTTCAATATTTGGGAAGGCAAAGCTTTGGCGAATATCTTCAGGATGCCAAGATGCCCTCCTGAAGGTGAGTTATGACAACTTTCAAGGATTGCTCTACGCCTGATGGGTGGGTATAACCATTTGCCATCGCCACTCCTTTTCTATCATTGCTCTCCCATCTCCTATGCAACACACCTTGTCTAACGGTGGAACTGGACCCCATAGGGCTTTGCATGCTTCAGACCAGTGCAGAAACTGCCCGCCTCCCATTGAGAAGCTTGTTGTCTAGCTCCTATGCAACATTGGGCTTATATCTGGGTCATGGAGCTGCAACTCTCTCGTCTCTTCACAACTGAAACCCATATCATTTTGTTTTGCAGATTGGGATCTGGTGATAGCAGAACAGAAAGCCTTGATGTCAGGAACCTCTACACTGCACGGTCCGTCCACTCTCCTACCTTGTGGGCATTGCTCACAGGGACGACGGCTCAAAGCATCAGCATTCTAATGTTTCCTGCCAGGCCGGTGAATCATAATTACCAAGTTCTTTAAGCCAACGGGCCATTTGGTTCACTGGTCGCTTTATTCTCTTGTCCCAGAATACAGCAGAGGTGTTTGTTCTCACAGTCACTGGCCTGCCAAAGACATAGGGATGCCAGTACCGACATGCTGTAACCACAGCTAGGAGCTCGGCGCGTAACACAGTAGTTTTTCTCTGCCGGGGTTGCACTTGGTGTTGTAACCTAAACCCACTTCCTGCCATTTTGATCTTGGGACAGGACCCATTTTGATATTGAGATCGCCATGTCGCGATGCACTAGGTGTCAATAGTCGCAGTGCGTCGTTGTAGGCGTGTGGCAACAAGTCCGTCGCTCTGGTTGGGTTTTGTATCACAAGCATTTTAAAGCAATACATTTCCTTCTCCCTTTAATAATCTCTCTATTAATTACTTTACTCTTCAATTTCCTTCTCGTGTGAGAACTAAATGCGTATGGAATTATCAAAACATAAGCTAGCTAACGATTTAATACTCTTGATTTTACTCTTTACTCTCCTTGCTGGCCTCCCCTAATCTCTTTGTAGGCAATAGTGCACACTAAGTGGAACAATCTACTTGTGTGCAGGTAAGCGTATCGCTGTCACTGCAAACGTTGTAGCTATTATTCCCTGTAGGCATTATTCACTGTACGCATTAGTAGACCTAACCCTGTCAGGCAGGTATGATACTTGAACACATGACATGTTACACTTGAGTTCACACCCAGCCCGGCTGGCGTTGCTTGGAAGTAAACACCAAGTTTCTTGAAGTAAACCGAAGTACACAATATTGCACTTTCGATTTGCGATTGTACGCTTATAATTTTGTTTATATGTTTTTTCATAACCACCAATGTCATGAATAAGTGACAATGGGTTTATTGATCTGTATTTAATTTGCATGTTTACGAAAAATACTGGTGGCATGTACTCCTGGAATACAATTTGTTAATGTATGTTGCCAAGTGATAGCATATTAACCCTAGTCCGATGAAGCGGGGTCCATACGGACCCCAAGACTATAAATATTGTGATAGAATCAGTCAGTGGTAAAATATCTTAATGGGACATTAGGTATTCTTCAATTAACCATTTTTCTTTCTTAAAATCAGGTTTAAGATTCAGAAACAATTTCCATTATAAAGTATCAGATGTGTTATTGCACATACCCTACTGGGGACTGATGGGTTCCGTGCAGACCCCACTGACAAATCTTTGACCAGCATTCAGAATTGCTCAAGGCAATCGGATTCATTGAACCCTTTCAAGATTCTGACTGTGACTTAGAGATTGAGAGTACTTCCAGCTCAGACAATGAGACTGATGTGCGAAGACAAGCTCCTGACAGTTATTGCAGCCGTGATGGAACACAGTGGTTCAAGCACCCAATGTCATTAGCTGGAACGCCTGAGAGAAATATTATTCGCCAGCTGAATGGAAAGGTCACCAATGTCAATGGAGATTTTCAAAATCCAATGGAAGCCTTCAGTTTGTATGTCTGTCCTGAAATTGTTGACGATGTTGTCAAATGGACAAATCAGTTCGCTGAAACTAAGCTTGGCACACAGTGGAAGCAAACAGATGGTATTGAAGTCACAGCACTGATTGGGATATGGATTATCGCGGTGTTAGCCACAACAACAATCAGAGTACAGAGATGCTGTGGAGCACCAAATATGGATTATCACAAGTACGGTCAACCATGTCCAGGAAGCGGTTTCAACACCTGATGACGTATCTCAGATTTGATGACAAAGCCGAACGATCCCAGAGACAAGAACGTGATAAAATGGCTCCGATTCGTAAAGTGTTTGATGCATTCAATTCACGACCTCAACGCTTTTATTCTCCAGGTGCGTATCTCACAGTAGATGAACAATTGGTGCCCTTTAGGGGAAGATGCGGCTTCAAGCAATATATTTCCTCAAAGCCAGACAAATATGGAGTCAAAATATTTTGGATCGTTGATGCCAAAACGTTCTACCCACTGAAGGCGTACCCCTATATTGGAAAGGAGGCACGTAGAGTGCAAGTTGGTCTTGGAGAAAAGGTCGTCATGGATCTGGCACGACCTTATGCCCGTTCTGGAAGAAATATTACAATGGACAACTATTTTACTTCTCCGAATCTGGCTCTGAACCTTCAGAAGGATCAACTTACTCTTGTTTGAACGGTGCGTTCAAACAGAACATTTGTTCCAGCTGAATTTCTACCAAAAGCGTGCACGAGAAGTGGAATCATCCATTTTCGGCTTTTCGGAAACTGCAACTATGGTGTCGTATGTACCAAAGAAGTCCAAAGCTGTCATTTTGCTCTCAACCATGCATAGCTCTCCTGATGTCATTGTCGACAAGAATCACAAGCCTGAAATGATTCTGTTCTACAATGAAACAAAAGTGGTGTGGATTCCCTATACCAGCTTGCACACCGATATAGTGTCAAGAGAAAACCAACAGATGGGCCTGTTGTGTATTTCATGAATATGGTCGACATAGCTGCCATTGCTGCCTATATCATCTGGCTGGGAAAGAATCCACTGTGGCAGAACAAACAGAGAACAAGGCGCCGACATTTCCTTTTGAACTGGGCGAGGCACTAACAGGACCAAACATTCAAAGGCGGATGGCATCAAACACCCGGAGCAACTTCGATGTGACTTTGCAAATGCTGGGTACACAGCTGGAAGTACGTACAACAAGCAGTGAAGCAAGTCTACCGGCAAAGAAAAGACGCTGTCATTCTTGTCCCAGAAGCAGTGATAGGAAGGTGAAAACATGCTGCACCAAGTGCATGAAACCAACATGTCCACAACATGGACGGTTTGTGTGTCATGACTGCGCTCAGTAATAACTCAGTGCTGAAAGTAACAATTTTTCGTTTCAGACATGGGCTCGAGTCAATAGTGAATGTTGACACTACTGAACAATGTTGTATTTCGTTACACTTTTAACTGTTCTGATACGTCATACACGGTAATCAATAATGTTTTTCTGTTCTAATTTAGTTTGCATAATGCAAAGTTAGTAACTGAGTAACACATTCTTTGTGAAATTGAGTTTAATACAATGTATGTAGTAAGAAAAAGTGTTCTTCAACACAAGTATCCTCAGTATGGGGCAGATGAAGATCTGGTTCTTTCTGGTTTGGCTGGTCTTGTTGCCCTACACTTGGCACAGGTTTTGGGGACCCTCAATTTCAATGATGCTATCTCTGCCAATGTGACATGGCGACCCTGCAAATAGAATCATTCACATATAACCATTCATTTGTTAGTGAATTTGTTGGTACCTATTTCTTCACACAGTACATTGTACCGATGTGTGACCTTTATTTATAAGGTGAGAAATAAAGTTATTTTTGTGTGAATCAGTGTTATACATATCGTGTACGAATAAAGACTGACTGAGTGTGGTTTTACGCCGCTTTTAGCAATATTCCAGCAACATCACGGCGGGGGACACCAGAAATGGGCTTCATACATCGTGCCCATGACGAGCCAACGCTTTAACCATTAGGTTACCCCACACCCCCGCACGAATAAAGAGATCAAACATCAATTAAGTTATTGAACAATGTCAATATCATACATGGATTACATGCGCAGACGCAAATGTATACATACTTACCTTGGTAAGGTATTGGTCATCGTATTTTCCTGGAGTTTCCTCCGGGAAACGACCCCTCACTGCCTCCCGCACAGCAGTCGGATAGACCAAGGTCGTTTCCCGGTGTGCCAGCTTCTCTCCATACAACACAGATAAAAAAACCAACTGTTTACAGTGTCTGAATAACTTTTTGCAGTTTCTTGTCTTACAAATCAGTGAATGAAAAGTACTACATGAAAACGACAATGATGAAACTGAAATTATTTATGGTTTAACATACTTACCACAAGCGCACCATACAATGCTCGATACACATCCTTCCGCTTTTTCCCTATGTGGAACACGATGTGTTCCAGTCCAACAGGGCAATTGAGACTATGAAAGAAAGAAATAGACATTGATCTGTCAACCATATATTTGCTATAAAGCACGTCAAGAGTTTATATTGCATAGTGAATTTATTACATAGTGAAATTGTTATATTTACCTCTCAGAAGTAAACGCTGATCGCAGTGCAGCCTCCATGATTCCCGATGTAAAATGTGGCGCCAGAAACCCCGTGAACTACAATTTGCGGACCTTTAACGGTTTGACTTTATGTAATATTTGGGCTTCCATCGGATAAGGGTTAATCTTGATATTATTTTACAGCTTCAAGCACAGAAACGGTTTGGCGGCAAAGACATGCATCAGACCATCCAGAACTCGCCCAACAGGGCAACAGGAACTTTGGCCATGGGTCAGTACAATGTAAATGGGACACTACTGTTATTAATATTAATAGTACTTGGGACCACATTAGCATGTCCAAGTGAAACAATTAGTTTAGTCACAGGTCAGATTATTATTTTTGACCACAGGACATCACAATCATTTCTTCATTTGTTCTAAGCCCACTCAGATTTATCCAGTAAACCTGTTGCTGCTTCTTTATGGACCATGTTTTTGTTACTCTGTATGATAGAGATTCAGATGATGCTGCTTTGGTTATCTGATACCAGTGTCTAAAACAAAACATTGCAATTGTTTAAAGCCATGTGTTGACAGCAAACAAACATTCTGTTCCAGAGCAACATCTATTGAAACAGATATAGCAAGCTTCATAGGTTGATATTTGAAACAAACATGCTCCAAGAAAGCTCTTGAGGGAACATGAGAGAGCGGAATGAGCATCCACGCAAGACACGACAGCTGATTAAACTAGTCTGATTGAATTATATGGGTGGAGTGTGTGTAAACGGATATGTGTGTGTGTGTTTGTGTGGTTAATTTAGTCTGACTAAATAATACTTAAACACACGTCATTGCCACGTCGCCGGCAAACCCTGAAATGGTGCAAATGGAAACTGAATGCCAAAGAAGTAAACGTGGGTCATTTGGGCACTGATCGTGTTGTGGCACTGCCCAGAGAGAAAATGTTAAAAATTCAACGGAAAAATGGTAAGGATACGCAAAGGAAACCCCTTTTTGTTACGTTGACGTTGACGTTGACCTTCACTTTTGACGTTGACCTTGACCTTCACCCCGACCTTGACCTTTGACCCTGTTGAGAAAATGTTAAACATGTAACGGAAAAATGGTAAGGATACGCCAAAAGGAAACCCCTTTTGTTACGTTGGCGTTGACCTTGACCTTCACTTTTGACGTTGACCTTGACCTTCACTTTTGACGTTGACCTTGACCTTCACCCCGACCTTGACCTTTGACCCTGTTGAGAAAATGTTTAAAATGTAGCGGAAAAATGGTAAGGATACGCCAAAGAAGACCCTTTTTTGTTACGTTGACGTCGACGTTGACCTTCACTTTTGACGTTGACCTTGACCTTCACCCCGACCTTTGACCCTGTTGAAAATGTTAAAAATGTAACGGAAAAAGGAACCTTTTTGTTACGTTGACGTTGACGTTGACCTTCACTTTTGACGTTGACCTTGACCCCGACCTTGACCTTTGACCCTGTTGAGAAAATGTTAAAAATGTAACGGAAAAATGGTAAGGATACGCAAAGGAAACCCTTTTGTTACGTTGACGTTGACCTTGACCTTCACTTTTGACGTTGACCTTGACCTTCACCCCGACCTTGACCTTTGACCCTGTTGAGAAAATGTTAAAAATGTAACGGAAAAAGGAACCTTTTTGTTACGTTGACGTTGACCTCGACCCAGACCTTGACCTTTGACCCTGTTGAGAAAATGTTTAAAATGTAACGGAAAAATGGTAAGGATACGCAAAGGAAACCCTTTTTGTTACGTTGACGTTGACCTTGACCTTCACTTTTGACGTTGACCTTGACCTTCACACCGACCTTGACCTTTGACCCTGTTGAGAAAATGTTAAAAATGTAACGGAAAAAGGAACCTTTTTGTTACGTTGACGTTGACGTTGACCTTCACTTTTGACGTTGACCTTGACCCCGACCTTGACCTTTGACCCTGTTGAGAAAATGTTAAAATGTGACGGAAAAATGGTAAGGATCGCCAAAGAAAACCCTTTTATTACGTTGGCGTCGACGTTGACCTTCACTTTTGACGTTGACCTTGACCTTCACCCCGACCTTGACCTTTGACCCTGTTGAGAAAATGTTTAAAATGTAACAGAAAAATGGCAAGGATACACAAAGAAACCCTTTTGTTACGTTGACGTTGACCTTGACCTTCACTTTTGACGTTGACCTTGACCTTCACCCCGACCTTGACCTTTGACCCTGTTGAGAAAATGTTAAAAATGTAACGGAAAAAGGAACCTTTTTGTTACGTTGACGTTGACCTCGACCCAGACCTTGACCTTTGACCCTGTTGAGAAAATGTTTAAAATGTAACGGAAAAATGGTAAGGATACGCAAAGAAACCCTTTTGTTACGTTGACGTTGACCTTGACCTTCACTTTTGACGTTGACCTTGACCTTCACCCCGACCTTGACCTTTGACCCTGTTGAGAAAATGTTTAAAATGTAACGGAAAAATGGTAAGGATACGCAAAGAAAACCCTTTTTGTTACGTTGACGTTGACGTTGACCTTCACTTTTGACGTTGACCTTGACCTTTGACCCTGTTGAGAAAATGCTTAAAATGTAGCGGAAAAATGGTAAGGATACATAAAGGAAACCCTTTGTTACGTTGACGTTGACGTTGACCTTCACTTTTGACGTTGACCTTGACCTTCACCCCGACCTTGACCTTTGACCCTGTTGAGAAAATGTTTAAAATGTAACGGAAAAATGGTAAGGATACGCAAAGGAAACCCTTTTTGTTACGTTGACGTTGACCTTGACCTTCACTTTTGACGTTGACCTTGACCTTCACCCCGACCTTGACCTTTGACCCTGTTGAGAAAATGTTTAAAATGTAGCGGAAAAATGGTAAGGATCGCAAAGGAAACCCTTTTGTTACGTTGACCTTGACCTTGACCTTCACTTTTGACGTTGACCTTGACCTTCACCCCGACCTTGACCTTCACCCCGACCTTGACCTTTGACCCTGTTGAGAAAATGTTAAAATGTAGCGGGGAAAAGGAACCTTTTATTACGTTGGCGTTGACCTAGACCCCGACCTTGACCTTTGACCCTGTTGAAAATGTTTAAAATGTAACGGAAAAATGGTAGAAGGATACGCAAAGGAAACCCCTTTGCTTACGTTGACGTTGACGTTGACCTTCACTTTGACGTTGACCTTGACCTTCACTTTTGACGTTGACCTTGACCTTCACCCCGACGACCTTTGACCCTGTTGAGAAAATGTTAAAAATGTAGCGGAAAAATGGTAAGGATCGCATAAAGAAAACCCTTTTGTTACGTTGGCGTCGACGTTGACCTTCGCTTTTGACGTTGACCTTGACCTTCACCCCGACCTTGACCTTTGACCCTGTTGAGAAAATGTTAAAAATGTAACGGAAAAATGGTAAGGATCGCCAAAGAAAACCCTTTTGTTACGTTGACGTTGACCTTGACCTTCACTTTCGACGTTGACCTTGACCTTCACTTTTGACGTTGACCTTGACCTTCACTTTTGACGTTGACCTTGACCTTCACCCCGACCTTGACCTTTGACCCTGTTGAGAAAATGTTTAAAATGTAACGGAAAAATGGTAAGGATACGCAAAGGAAACCCTTTTTGTTACGTTGACGTTGACCTTGACCTTCACTTTTTGACGTTGACCTTGACCTTCACCCCGACCTTGACCTTTGACCCTGTTGAGAAAATGTTTAAAATGTAGCGGAAAAATGGTAAGGATACGCCAAAAGAAAACCCTTTTTTGTTACGTTGACGTTGACCTTGACCTTCACTTTTGACGTTGACCTTGACCTTCACTTTTGACGTTGACCTTGACCTTCACCCTACGACCTTGACCTTTGACCCTGTTGAAAATGTTTAAAATGTAGCGGAAAAATGGTAGGATCACTTAAAGAAGACCCTTTTGTTACGTTGACGTCGACGTTGACCTTCATGTTAAAATTTTTGACGTTGACCTTGACCTTCACCCCGACCTTTGACCCTGTTGAGAAAATGTTAATAATGTAACGGAAAAAGGAACTTTTGTTATGTTGGCGTTGACCTTCACTTTTGACGTTGACCTTCACCCCGACCTTGACCTTTGACCCTGTTGAGAAAATGTTAAAAATGTAACGGAAAAAGGAACCTTTTTGTTACGTTGACGTTGACCTTGACCTTCACTTTTGACGTTGACCTTGACCTTCACCCCGACCTTGACCTTTGACCCTGTTGAGAAAATGTTAAAAATGTAACGGAAAAAGGAACCTTTTTGTTACGTTGACGTTGACGTTGACCTTCACTTTTGACGTTGACCTTGACCTTCACCCCGACCTTGACCTTTGACCCTGTTGAGAAAATGTTAAAAATGTAACGGAAAAAGGAACCTTTTTGTTACGTTGACGTTGACCTCGACCCCGACCCAGACCTTGACCTTTGACCCTGTTGAGAAAATGTTTAAAATGTAACGGAAAAATGGTAAGGATACGCAAAGGAAACCCTTTTTGTTACGTTGACGTTGACGTTGACCTTCACTTTTGACGTTGACCTTGACCTTCACCCCGACCTTGACCTTTGACCCTGTTGAGAAAATGTTAAAAATGTAACGGAAAAATGGTAAGGATACGCAAAGAAAACCCTTTTTGTTACGTTGACGTCGACGTTGACCTTCACTTTTGACGTTGACCTTGACCTTCACCCCGACCTTGACCTTTGACCCTGTTGAGAAAATGTTAAAAATGTAACGGAAAAAGGAACCTTTTTGTTACGTTGACGTTGACCCCGACCCAGACCTTGACCTTTGACCCTGTTGAGAAAATGTTTAAAATGTAACG